TTGACTATATTCACCACTTTTATCAACCATTCTTTAATTATTTTGAGCGCCCCAATTTTGATGTGAAGTGGCTCCATCATAATGATAAAAACTTTTTCTCTGTAGTATTCTTTCCAATTTTACTTTATCAGTTTAGCTATTAAATACAATGTCTGATCAAAAGTACTGACAGATGTTTGACCTTTATTTAAAAATCAACAGCAGTCTTAACCATATCGATTCCTTACTTATTCATCTAAGTAGATTTAGAAAATTCACGGAATAAAAGAAGAAACCTCATATAATCAATTGAACCTGTCATTTTAAAAAGGCACAAGTCCAATAATTTCAACAGTTAGATTATAAATTTGAATTAAAATTTTCTGTATAGTTTATGTTTTTTTTTATAAAAAATGAAAGTTACATAAGTTATATAGATTCTTTATTTATCTACTTTTATGTTTAATTTCTTTAGCAGTGCAGACATTGTTTTAATAAAGTTCATGTTTTTGTTGATTTTGAAAAGTTTTGATAAATGGACTTGTACCCTATTCGAAACCACAGGTTCTAGTTAGTAATTAGTTTACGGCATTAATCTGTGATGCATTGAATGCTGACCAAACTATGTTAGAGTTGCATTCTATTTTTTCCCATGATAGTATTTCTCATCTTCAACGTGGTACAACCATCTTGAATGGAAAAAAAAGATTACAATTATGTTTTGAACAAATAAAGATTATTTAATTAACATTTTAAAATTGGGATACAAATCAACAATTTTTGATAAGTTCAAAAATTTGCGGACAGAGCGTTTTTTTTTTAGTTGTACAAACTTTTCAACAATATTTGATAACAAATTTATATAAAAACAAAATCACATTAGTATTTCAAAGGATATCCTTTACAATCAACAATGGCTCGGCATTTATGAGACATAGAGTCAACTAAATGAATGCAAATACCAATGGAAATTGAGTTCCACATTTATTGGATTTTATTAAGTAAATCAGTAGGCTTGATTCCTTTTATTTGGCGTCAACATGTTCCCATAGATGTTTAATTGGATTTAAGTCACGTGATTGGGATGGCTACTTTAAAACATTAATTTTTATTCTTCTTGAAAAATTCGTTACTAAAAAGAATTTATGACAATGCTCTGATGCAAGTTCTTTTCGGGAATTACGGTTTTTCAAGAAAACTAAAGGCTTTTTAGCTGGGCGTCTTTAAATAAATTAGCTTGACGTAAACGACGTTTTATAGTAGAAATGCTACAATTCATTCCATAGAAACGTCTCATTTGTACGGTTATATCGATAGCAGTCAAACGGGGATTTTCTTTGCTTAGTATCGCAAGCTTTTTAATTTTGATAATGCGTTGTTTTGCGTAGTTTTCCTGATTGTTTTTTATTCTTTGTATATCTAGTTAGCTCATATCTCTTCATAATTTGTCTTAGAGCTGACTTACCGACTCCATAAAGCTGTGCTGTTTAATGAAAGGAATTTCCTTTTCGAACTGATCTCAGAATTGTTGGTGGTTTGTCTTTTTATTAATAATTTTTTCATCTGAAAAAGTTAACATAGATTTAGCATTAATGTTAAATGCCAATGTTTAACTTTTTTGCCATTTAAATCATCTTTTCTTTTAATTCTCACCACTCACAAAACTCTACTAATGGTGGTTAATAAAACTTCGATTGATTCCTTTTCTAAAAATTTCTTAATCGTTCTATACCAATATCTAAGTTATAACAACAATAAAATATGTTCTTTAGTATTTTTTTGACTTTTTTTTTTTGTCAAAATGCTTTGTTTACATTATTCTTTTTTTTTCACTAACTACTTTAAATATAGGATTAAATTATAAATAATATCGTTAAATATTGTTTAAACAAAAAGTAATTAAGTTTCAAAAGTGTTTCCAATTCAATGTCTAATATAAAATATTTATATTATTTTTGTGTTCATATTTGTTTATATTTAGATAAAAAAGCACTCAAAGGTGTAAGAGTTAAAAAGTTAGTTATGAGTATTATAGTTAATCATTAAGTTCATTATTTATAGTTAGAACAAAAAGAAAATAAAAATATTATTTTTCAAAATTATAAGACTTTTTATACTTTTTAAATATATTTTATTATAGTCTATCAAGGCAGATATTCTGCAAAACAAAACAAAAAAAATGTCCAAGATAGGTACCGTACTTTGGTTTTTAACAATTTTTAACTTAAGCATAAACAAAAAAAAAATTATCTTTTTTTAAAAAAGATAAAAGGTTTTTCATTGATTATATATTTATTTTATTAGTGATGACAATGGACCAGATAGGTAAAAATTATTTTATTTATATTATAGTTAAGTAATATTTTCTGTTATATTATAGGTATGTTTTATAGTTTTTTTTAGCTGGCTGAAGGTTAGACCTAAGTAAGTATCTTTATTAATAAATTTTAAATTTGATTTTTGAAATGGGTTTATATTAAATAAAAATAATAATTTGATAAGTTTTCATTTTAGAAAAGAAAATTTGTGTTTTTTTGTTAAATTGTTGAGTTATTTTGTTAGTAAATTTAGTAATTATTGGAATTTGATTTTAAAGAAGTTATAAAGATTTTTATTTATTTAACAAAAATGGTGCCAACAATGGCATTAACAGGAAATTCGGTTATCACCATTACAATGAAAAACTGAGATTGGTTATATTCAAAACTTCTAAACCTCTATTTGTATCATACTTCAATTTAAGTTTTTATTTCTTTTTCGGTATTTATTTATTGCTCAAAGGAGTTTTTAACTTTATCCAGAGTTGTTTGTTGCTTGGCCTCAGTTAAATCACTCATATTGAGTAACAACTCTTAGGTAAACCATTTTTTTATAATTTATTACTTTGTTAAATATTAAAATCTTTCCTTACTCAAAAACTTTATTTTTTTGTTTTTATTTTAGATTTAGAGTTGACTCGAAATGGAATAGAAAGGAAAAACTGTATTTTTGTGTATTTGGATTGATTTTGATTTACTTATATTTATATTTGTTATTTAACCAATATATATTACTTAAAGATAAGTTTTTAAGTATATCTATATTGTAAATGTATATAGGAATATGTAATATAATTATATTATTATGTGCTTGTATATACTTTATCAAAATTATTAATAAATTTTTAGAAGGTGTTTATTACTTTACTATTTTTTTTATTTATCTGTGTGTTTGCTGTTAAATTGAAATGTAAATCACGGAAATTTTAATATCTTTTATCTAAATCAAAGAAAAGTTGTTTTCAGAAAATATTTTCAAAGACATGCCATTGATTTTATAAATATAAGATTTGCTAGAAATAATTCATTTAAATTTTAGTTTAATTACGGAAACTATCTGGTAACTGAGTTGCCTTTTCGTTGTTTAACGTGAAAAACTTGTTTATTTTAAACAGAAATATCCGTTTATTTACGGAAAAGTTCCGGCAGCTGCCGATGACCAAACCAGTGATATTTTCGTACACGAGAACGAAAACGAGAACGAAAAAAAAAGCCTTTTGTTTACGAAAACGAAGACTAAAACGAAATTTATTTTAAGAACGAGAACAGAATAAAAACGATAATTTTAAATTTTCGAACGGAATAAAAACTGAATCGAAAATTATTTTAAAACGAAATATTTTTGTTCTAGATTTGAAACGAGTTGAATTATTTGATATATATAATTATTATATTACAATACTTTATAATGATATATTATTCGAACTTAATTGAATTTTATTCAATTAAGTTCGAATAAGTTTAGTTTAACTAATATGATATAGTTCATAATATGATATAGTTCGAATAAATTTATTCGAATATATTTTTTCGAACTAAAAAAAAATCAAACTGTAAGACCAACACAACTACGCGATGAGCTTGAGTAAACTTTTTGCTGGTAGGAAGAAGAATAGTTCAGTATGGAAAAGGTTTAAATACGATGCGTCATCAGACAAATCAGTATGTTTAGTTTTACTTGATGGTGAAAAAGTATGCAATACAAAGTTGTGTGGAAAGAACGCAACAAATCTTAAAGTTAGTTTATCTGTTAGAGGATATGTTTTCATTTTGAAACAAACGACTCATTTTTATCATTTTAGAGTAATTATTCAATAACGTATACAAACTTATTTATACATTAATTGATAAACAGATAGATAAATAAACATATAAATATACAAACAAAAAATTATATAAATATGTTTATTTTTTTCTAGCTACATTAAGCAAGAAACCATAAGTCTGTACACGTTGAGCTGGAAGAGTCGGAATTAAAGAAATTAGGTGAAAAAAAGCAAACAGGGATAAAGAGAAAAGCAGTGGATGAAAATGGACCCACTCTTTTAGAATCGTCCTCAAATCAGAACCAGACCTTGATTCAATGCATTAATCGTAGGAATACCGCATGGCCTATTAATTCACACGAGCATAAAATTCGACTAAACTCTCTTATTCAAATGATAATTGCAACATGTAATCCAGTGACATTGGTGGATAATGCGAGTTTTAGAAAGTTAGTTAATACCTTGGATTATAAACTTTCATTGCCTGCTTCTGCCAAAATTACTAGCCTACTTAATGAAGAATTTACTGTTTTAACGAGAAAACTTCGTGACTTCATATCTGAAGGCAGGCGCTTCACAATATGCCGGCGGACCTGTACACGGCGCACCCTAAACTCGGTGAAGTTCGTTAATTCTCGGAACGAATATTCTCGGTGTTCGCTTTTGGTAATTTACAGAATAGGCGCTAAAATATTACTTTAATTCGCGCCATAATGGTAACGTCGAAAATAAAAAAACAAAAACTTGTCGTAAATGCATTTTAATAAAAATTTAACATTTTATAAAAAAAATCAAATTTTACAAATTATCAACATATATACATTAAATATTAGATTAAATAGATCTTCTAAAGGTATCTTCTCTTCTTAAGATTTCTTTTTGTAGCTTATCTTTTTTTAATCGATCATCTAAAGGTATCTTCTCGTAGCTTCTCTTCTTTACATGTCTTTTTGTGGCTAATCTTCTTTTAATCGATCTTCTACAGTTATCTTCTTGTAGCTTATCTTCTTTGCATATCTTTTTGTGGCTTATCTTCTTTTAGTTTTTGCAACGTATATTTTGTGTTGTACATAAAAAAAAACAAGTTTAATATAAATATTATGAAACATTTTTAATGTAAATATTATATTATAATACTTATTTTACATTACAGAGGATACCAAAACGACTCAACATGATTTGTTGTTGCTCCAGTGTCAGGATCAACAAAGTTTATTGTATATTTTACAGCGAAATGATTGTAACCTAAGTTATTTAAATTAGTATAAGAAGCCCACTGATCTGAGTGTATTATTGATCCAGGTGCAACCCATTGTTGAATTATTGGCACTAATGTCTGAGCTGTTCGATCCTCTACCCTTCTTAAGTATCCTTTCTTACTAGTTACATCAAATGCCCCAAAAATCCAACGTTATGCCCAACATTTTCGTTTAAAAAATAAAGATTCATCTATTTCTACAATGAGCCCTGGACCACCTAATTGATTGACAGCAGCAACATCCATAGTTTTAAATGAACAAATATCCAACATTAATTGAAGTATCAGACTTACACTTAAAGATGTAGAGCTTTCAAAAAATCCTGCTCGAATTGACTTCGTCTTTTTGCAAGTGTTACATCGCCAAATATGTTTTTCCTTAAATAAAGTATTTTGAAGATACAAGGGATAATCTGTTTTGTGTAAATAATAATAAAAATGTTAAGTATTCATACTTGACAACGTTTATAATTTTGCACAAGCATCCTTTGACCACATAGACAAAGTTTTTGAAGTGGCATTAGCCTTTTTTGTTGCAAAAAATCAACCAATTTTTCTTCTTTGATACTTTCAAGGAACTCAGCTAAAGGTGTCATCTTACTTATTTTAAAGGCGGTAAAAAATTGGCTTTTGAAGCGCGAATTAAAACTTTTGTGCTAAATTTTCATTCGTTAATATAAGCCAATCATTAAACGGCAAAATTATTGTTTCGAACTTTACCGAGTTCGTTTACGAACTTCACCGAGTTTAGGGTGCGTCGAGTACAGGTCCGCCAATATGCCTTGATGGCTGGACTAAAAAAGGTCTTACTGCGTCCTTTTTAGGAATTTCGGTTTGTTTTTTTCACTTCAAATCCGAAAAACCAATACATGCTCTGCTTAATTTGTATCTTGTGAAACATCCACATACAGGTGAACAAATTGCTAATTGTTTTGAAAAATGCCTAAGATATTGGAATATTTCCAGAGAAAAAATATTGCTTGTTATTTCGGACAATGGAGCAAACATGGTCAAAGGCATAAAGTTGTCGAGAATGAAAGCTCAAGCTGAACGTGATATACTTATTGAATTAGAAAGTGAGGTTAATGAAGAGCAGATAACAGATCTGGAAGACGATGAGAATATGACAAATAGTGAAGAGTGGGAACATGTTGACTTGATAGTTGATGTAATAAAAAACGTAGCATTTAGAAGATTGGGATGCACTGCACATGTTAAACAGCTAGTTGTAAAACTTGCATATGATGGTAAATATCATGGCTTACTTTTGAAGGTACGTGGATTAGTGGGAAAAGTTCGCAAATCTTCTGTTGCATTGGAAAAAATTATCAACAAATGTGGTAAGACTGTGATCAGCGACTGTTCTACAAGATGGAACAGCACTTACTTTATGGTTCGGAGATTTCTGGAAATAAAGACATCTATCAACGAAGTGCTTGGAGACCTTAACATTGATTCACTTGCCAATAACGAATGGATAATGCTTCAGGATTTTGTCATCTTTTAGAACCTTTTGCCAATGAAACTGATATTCTTCAGACGGATGCACTTTCACTATCCAGTGTTATACCTTCAATACTTAATTTAGAATGTCGCCTTGAGCAATTTGGAGATGCCAAAGATGTAGCAGTTAAAATGCTTGAAGATCTACACCGTCGTTTTGCCGTTCTTTTGCAGCCAAGCGATCCTAATTTTAATCCACTGCCATGTGCCGCATGTCTACTTGACCCCACATGTGCAATAGCTCTTTTAGGTAATGAGCATACACAAATCAGAGAGTGTGCAAAGAAATAGATTTTGTCAGAGGCTAAAAAATTGGTGCAACATGATTTACCTTTAGCAAGTGCATCTACTCTTTCTGTTGAGATTGCTCCAGAAATAAATGGATTAACAAAATGGAAATTTTTAGCGGCAAAACAGCGAGTAGAAAAAATAAAGCTTATTCCAGGTAATGAAGCACAAAATGAACTCAACAAATATTTTATTGAAATAAGGAACAGCTCTATGTGCCAAAATGCTTTAAATTTCTGGAAGATGAGACGTGCTGTTTACCCACATATTGCACCATTAGCTGAAGACCTCATTGCAGCTCCTGCAACTCAAGCATATCTTGAAAGACTTTTTTCAATCTGTGGCTTGCTCACAAATGGACGGAGAAATCAAATGTCAGCGTGATTGGAAATGCGAGTTTTCTTAAAACTAAATTCTCATCTAGTCTAGATAATAATCATATAATCACTAGGCCCTTTATTTGTAAAATATATGAGTAATTATTAAAGTCTATACAATAACTATTCATTAGTTTTTATTGTTACCAAATTTGAGGAGTTTTTTTTATACCTAATAATTGAAATTTTTTTAAGTTTTAGAGCAATAAGGACAGGTTGTTGTTGTGTTTTTTATTAAGGGCGGTGGGCGGGGCTCTAAACTTCTAGCCATGGGACTGGGTGTATTACATTCAATTAAGTTCTCATTTTTTTGTTTGTTTATAGAACTAAGACTTACTTCTTTTAATTATATATGCCTATATTATTTATAAATTATACTAAATTATAATAAGATGAGATAAAAAATTTATACGACAAACGAAAATTGAACTAAATAAAAACTAAAACTAAAATTATTTTAAGATGAACTGAATAAAAACTAGAACTAAATTTATTCACTGAACTAAATAAGAACTAGAACTAAAAACTTTGCCTCTAAACTGAATAAAAACTAAAACTAAAACTATTTTCCGAACAAAAATATCACTGGACCAAACTACCCGTTATTTAACGGAAAAAACCCATTGAATTTTAACGGAAAAAATCCGTTTGTTAACGGAAACTTCCGTTTACATACGATGGGTATTTCCGTAAAATAACGGGTAGTTTGGTCATCGGCAGCTGCCGGAACTTTTCCATAAAAAACGCGCTATTTTTTTAACAGTGTACTGTATATATATATTTGATTAACTCTATAAACATATAATATAGGTATTTAATTTATAGTTAGGTCTTCTTGGGGCACCTAAATAACAATATATATATATATTTATATATATATATATATATATATATATATATATATATATATATATATATATATATATATATATATATATATATATATATATATATATATATATATATATATATATATATATATATATATATATATATATATATATATATTTATATACATAAGGTGGTGTGAAAGTAATTCTTACGATTTTTCTAAGTTTATATTAAGTGCATGTTCCCGAAAGAAGTTATTTTAACAGGCTTAGGAATAGTTTTCCATTTCTGGTAATTGATAAAAATTTAAAACTTATCAAACCTCAGTAAATAAATCTAGAAGATTTGATAATTGTTTTTTTTAGAAAACTTTAAGTAGAAATTTCAAGATCTGATGCAACTTTCTCTGAATTTTTATACTGGAATAATGATATTCCTGTTTCGTGAAAAGAATCTTTAGCTGTTGAGGAATTTGGATTGTGGTCTATATCATTCAAAAATGCAGTTGTGAAGACGTTAAGGTTCAAGCGCAGTGGGAAAACCATTCTATTTTCTTGCAAAGTAGTTAAAAAAATTTTAATACCCTTTTGATATCCCAAAACATTGGTATTCCAAGTTTACAAAGTTTATCAACAAGCGTCTTTTTTCAAGTTTTCGTATGAATCATGTCTACATAAATTGCTATGGGATATTCTCGAGATTTTTGTCTTTTTTGAATCTTGGTTTCTATGCTAATTTTAACAAACACTTTTTATTCTATTGTGAATTTACAATTAAATAATTGTTAAAGTTGCTTTTTCCAAACTTTGACTACATTTATTACTTGTATTCTCTTGTAAAACGGTGCCAACAAATGAAAGAAGCAGGAACAACTTCACTTTAGCAATCTTGTAAAAAATAATTGTTGAAGTCATAACTTTGATAAGCGAGAATATCTTGCGGCAAGATTTTAGCTACTTTAAACAAAATGAAAGATTCGTCTTCATATTTCTTTTCATAAAAATTCTTCTCAACATTTCCAACATTTTTATTAAATGTAGAAAAACTTCTTATAACTATATTTTCTTAGATTTTCTAAATGTGCTAACAATCTCTTTAATTTTGATATATGGATCCTTTCAGAAGTGTTTCTACCCAGTTTAATGATCTTTTTATAATTGAGCAAGTTCAACTAATTTAAAAGACATTTAAAACTAACTTAAAAAACAATTTAAAGACGCTGTTAATATTATCCTTCGTTTCTTGTATCATATACTGTTTCAATTCATCAAGAACCTGGCCTTCAATTTGATTGTCAGAATTACTGTATGACATTTTATCGGACTCTTCTCTATTTAGATCTTCTATAGAGACTTACCAGATAAGTAGAGTGATATGTAGCATCTGGGGCTACCAAGTTACCAGCACTAAGCTTACCTAACAAAGTACTATCTTTAAGGATAGTGGCGCACTTTCTTACACGTTTTCCCAACTCCAATGTTGAAACCCAATGAAGTGCACCGTCAGAGCTTTCACAGAAAAAATATTTCAAAATGGTTATACATGCTGTTCTTAAAAAAGCCATATTAATTGGTAGCTAATTGATTGAACAAAAATTATATTCTTCACCATCATCTTTCTTCTTGAACTTTAGTTAATTTAGTACTTTCTAATTTTATAATGCTAAATTTATTATTACGTAACTTATAAAACTTTGTATCAAGCTGAATAAACTATCAATTAAGATATTTTTGTTTATATAATTATATAATACTGTAACTGGTGACTCGCCCAGGCTTTCAAACATTTCAAATTAAAGAGTTGTTCAACTGTATATGATTTATTAAGGCGGTAAGTTCTATGGACTTAATTGTCTTACCAAAATTTTTTTCATATGGAACAAAACTAATTATATAATTGAAATAAATAAAACATTTACAAAGTTTTTTACATCGCCTTTTTTTTTTTAAAGAATAACTGAATTTATTTTTGCATGCATGCAGTACGTACCCTTTTACCCTTTGAATTAATACAATTTATTTTTCACTTTCTATTTTATGAGTTATCACAAAAAAGAGCGTCGCGGCATGACAAATCAATGTCGCGTTGTGACGCGGGTAAAAATAAATAGCAACTCTTTTTGCACCACTATTTTCCAAAACTTTCAGAAATCTTTACATAAGTGATTACTGCAAATAAAGCTATGCGGTCTAAAATAATTTTATTTTATCGCTTGTTGCGCTTTCGTGTGGAGACTTGCTCAAAGTGGTGATTTTTAAGAATATTTATTAGCTTTATAAAGTAAATTTTGAAAAAATTAAAAAACGTGTACAAAATTTTTTTGTTGAAAAATCAATTAAAAAAAAATGTGTAAAAGTATTTTCTAGAAGAGCAAAAATTTCTTTTTTAAATTACTCCAATAACAAAAATTTAATTTTTTACATATTTTTGACTAGACGAATTTTGTATTTTTTACCTAGGTTTACCCATATTTCTTCATTACCCTTTAGGACAATAATTTTTTGATTTAATTTACACAGTCTGTATCACCTGTCTTAAATAAATAAAGTAAAAAATAAATTCCAACATTCCGGCCTGAAATATTATAATTCCGGTAGGAACCGGAATAACCTAAAAGTCACTTTTTATATTACATTATAGTTTATAACATAATATAAAAAAACTGTTTCTCATTTTTTACAAGTATATTTTCTTATACAAAAGCTTAATT